TGTTGTAGTTGTTGTTGAGCGTTTAAATTGCTGCTAAGAAAACTAGGTGTGGTACTCGTATCGATGGGAGTGGTGGTATAATCGGAGGCATCAACGCAGGAGCAATTGGAAAAGATCTGAAACAAACAATTAAAAAAGAAATTTTTAAAGACACGCCTTTTTTTATTGGTTAATAAAAAAAAGAAAAATCCTTCTATTTAAGTAATATTTATGTGTTCTATACATAAAACAAATCGTAACTGAATACGGATTTTTCAAATAGCTCGACACCTGCGCCACTTAGCGGATTAATAGCTCTTTCATATTGGATTGTCATCGGGCTCTGAGCTAAGTTTGAAGTTTCAGGTCTCTAGCTCATAAGGAAGTTGGGTAAAAATTGATTGCAAGATTTGATTTCACACAGATGAAAAATAACAAAAGCTTATAATAAAAAGAAAAAGTTAAGATATTGAGAAGTAATTAAAAAATGGCGTGAAGTCCCGGTACTCCTGAAATTGCTACCGTTAAATACATAAATAGGTAACGCTAGAAATTAAAGATTTCATTCATTTTATTAATTTTTGGGCATCAGTAAACGATTTTTTCAGAGCCATTTCGGGCATAGTTCAGGGTGATTTCGTGCTTAGTCTTCAACTACCCTGATCCAGAACTAGTCCAAAATTGTCCTGAAGTATTCTGAAGTGGTTCTGGAAAAGTCGTGAACTTCTCCCGAAAGGATCTCGAACAATTCTTGAAATGGCCCCTTATTAGTCCCAAAATGATCGCAAACTAGACAAAAAATAGTTCGGAACTAGGCTCAAAATAATCCAGAATTAGTCAAAAATGTTTCTCAATTAGTCGTGCTCTAGTCCCGAAATGCTCCTAAACTAGTTTTACCCATATTAAGATATTTACACATAAAAAAACACAACCAACTTCAATTATCGAATATCGCTTATACGCTCAAACAAATTTACGAGTACGGTACTCGCTTGTGATCCAATCCTCGAAACTAAATCACCCTATCCCCTTCCCCACAAAAGATTCATCGAATTCGATTCAATTTGTCAAAAACTATGCGAGTATTGTTTATAAAAACTAAGAGTACCATTAGTTTCTGCATGATCCGATGATCGGAACTGTACCAGATTAGTATTGAGAGCCCTCTTGAGGTACCAATTTTCTGACAAAAAAAAAAGAATTATCAAAAACAGTTCACGTGGCCGTAAGTTAACCGGTAACATACATAAAAAAAGAAACCGTATTTATTTCGGTGTTAATTTTATACTTTTTACTTCACTTTACGACAACGCAGAACGGGAATTGACCCTCAGTATATCGTCATTAATGTATTAATTCGCTATCTGCTACTCGGTAACACTTTCAACCTCGAACGCCCCTTATTCTTTTTCTGGTTAAAATTACTTTCGAATCAGCTGACGTGAAGCACTTTTATTTATAAAAATTTATTAATTCCACGACAGAAAGATTTATTAAACTTTTGATAAAATGCATGAACTATTCGCGCGCGAAAATTCCAGCAAATAAGTAGGAGAAAGGAATCAGCTGATATTTTAACGCGTGTGTTATCCCATTATCTGACTTAAGGAGGTGGAAGTTGGTAATGATATATTCGGTTATTTACAAAAACAAAACAATGGTGGGAGTTACTGAATACCGAATGAAGACCTTAACGAATATAGTCTGAATACCCTTTATATACTACACGACAGTGCCGTATTAGGCTCTCTGGTACAGGAGCGATGCTTTTAAAGCGCAGTTACCCACGGACGTAAAAATGGAGAACGTGTCAGCTATCTTATGGGGTCTGCGTGTTAACATAAACTCACCACCGCTTGACCGTGACGTAGACGTTGCTTCTCTCTCTCTATCTATCAACAGCAAACTTGATATGTTTCTACGCACTTCTACGTACACGTTCATGGGTAACCGCGTTCTTAATCGGTATGTTTCCATAAAAATCATTAAAAAGCTTCTCCCATGAGAAAGTTTGGTCGTAGTTATTCTACCAGAGAACGCAGCGGAATTTTCTTCCTCTTTTTTACGTAAAATTTTTTTCTTTCTAATTTAATTTTTCAGATTTTATATTTTTAAAAAGAATAATATATTTTTTAATTTAAATTAATTTTTAGAAACGTATGTTACGTATTTTTTCCTATTTTAATTTAATTTCTTTTAATCGTTTGGTTGTTATTGTTTAAAAAAGAATATTTTTTAATTTTATTTCTTTTTTAGGAATTTTTTTTTTCTTTTTTTATTATTTTTTAAGTTTTCTTTTAGTTTTTATATTTTACTCTGTAAAAAGATTTTTTTTAATTACATTTACTTTTTAGAAATTTATTTTATTCATTTTTGGGATCTTATTTAATTTTTTTTGTCTTTTTCAATTATTGTTTTTAGGAATCTGATTTAAAATTAAACATTTAAAATTTTTTTATTTGTAAGTATCTACTATACTTTCTTTTTTAATTTTATTTTCCTGTTTTTCTAAGTAAATTGTTAGATTTTTTTGTTATAAAGAAAAAAGTAAATTTTTTTAATTTCATTTATTTTTTTAAGTATTTTTATTTATTTTTACTTTATTTTAGTTTTATTATTATTATTTTTCCTTTTTGTAATTTAATTTTTTTTATAAGCCTTTATTGTTTTAAAAAGAAAATATATACATATTTTAAATAAAAAATCTTATTGCTAAAAGGCGAACAGCAGATCTTTCAATTAGTCTCTCGAAAGACAGTAACGAGCTTTCAAGATAGTTGCCAGGAAAGACTTTTGTCTTTCGAAAGACTGTGGTGAGTTGAAAGACAGTTGCCGGAATTGCCCTGTAAGGCGCCACTGATCTACAAACATATTTGGGGGGTGAAGTGTAGTACGAAAGCCGCACAACACTCTTAAAAAATACCATAGAACTCACCTTTAACTTGGAGTCCCATGTTTTACAACCAGCATGACAGGCTGAGAAAAAGGTTGTATCACTGGCTTCGTGACACACTGGTGAATACGCCACATTATTACAAGAACAATTGCTATTACATTGCGTGCTGAAGTTATAGCTGAAAGATAAAATAAAATGTAGACATATGTACGTAGTACTTATGGACATTCATAAATTTTAACGAATCTACCTTCCACCATCTTGCAATACATAAAAATATACGACGTTTGCCCCAAAATGTACACACACCCCACTATGACATTCCACATGAGCACCTTACTCGGTGATGGCCGTTTCTTTGATATTATAATACCAGATCCAATGAGACCAATTACCATACCCATGATCGATATAGGACCCACAACAATGGTGGCGGTTTGTGCGGTTTTATGAAACTGCACTTCCATATATTTAGACAAGAATGTCATGTAGCCAGCAGCGCCCAAAATGTAGAAGACACCCGATATAATGTTGTAAATAAGTAATTTGTTGCGTAACAAACGCATTAAAGCCTTGGGAAAGTCTAAAGCGAGCGTGTAAAAAAAAAGAGTTAATAAAAAATCTACATTTTAAAGCAAGTTTCATGATAAAAAAAAAAACCTTTGAGTTTTGGAAAGTCCGGATCAACTGGCCCAGCTGCATTGGCATCTAAGGCAACATTTAAAGAGAGCGTACTTCCCAATGGAATGCCATCTTCCTTCTTCAGTTCCTCCAACCGCATCATACGTGGCAAGTGTGAGTTGTAATGTTCTGGCTTCTTCTTGGGCAACTGTTTGGGGAAGAGGCCGATGAGTCCAGAGAAGAGAACCATTAGAGTGCCCAATATCATCCAGCCGAACCACCAAGCGCCCAACCAGCGTGGATCTTTATTATCGATTATTGGCTTCTTCGATGGATCGATGTACATGTTTAGCGAAGCATAACCTGAAAACGAAAAATGATTGTTTGGTTGTACAATAAAGTTTGCGTAACGATTTAAATTTTGACCAAAACTATGCAGGCTTTGTGGAGTAATTAGGATATTTTTTTCGATTTAAAAGTTGTGCAGTTAAAGTAATAAATGAAGCTGATTCCTCATACGCGCTCTCGAAAAATAAAACGAAATTTCAAAACAAAAAAAATAAAACTCTTTTTCATAAGTAAATCGAAAGTTCAATTTAGAACTAAATTTAATCAATTTATGTGACCATGTACACATAGCATAATCAAATTTAGATTTCGAAGCATCATCAAAATCTCAGTCTTTCTGGTTACCAATGAGAACTCAGGTAGTTACTATAAATTTTTGTAACGCTTCAGTTTTAATTTATGAAACAATTCAACTTAAATTTTCGAATCAACCTCTAAAATTTTGACTATTTCATTGGCATTCAGTGGCGGGTTCCAAACCGCGCGCACAACAAAGTAACTAGTGTATATGCTGAAGACACAAGCCTCATCGAGAATCCCACTTTCTCTGAAGTGGCCCAAGGCTGCACACGGTTTGGTTACCGTATCTCGCACATGGGTTGCTAACGTTGCCCAGAGTGGGTGAATGGGTACGCAAGAGTCGGGTTTGAGTATGGTTATTCAACTGTAACTGCATACCCAGAAGAAAGACCATACCACCATACATTTTCATTACATATTATACAAATTCGGACTTACCCAAAAAGAAGCCCACAATCGGTCCAATCATTCGCAGCGCCATGGCCACAGCCAGCATAAGTGGGGTATTTGCCTTTTTCGTATTATCATCCAGATATGTTTGACCCAGCGAATAGTAAAGAGTATTGCCAATACCGAGCACGAATTGCGACAAGAAAATCAAGATTAGCGGCACAATAGATAAAAGTGACTCGCATTCTTGTGATGATTTCGTTAAACCGCATATTTCTTGTGAATTTTGAATAGAAATAGACGAGTTCTATGTACAAAAAAAAAAAAGAGAATTGCCTATGAATTAGTAAACAATGGTATGCCGGTAAATAGAAATGCATACAAATTAAGTTAGAATTTAATATATAGCAAAATTGACATACATACATACATAGCTTAAGTATATATTCACCAATGTATGTACATTTGTATGCATGTCTAACTTATGCTTTCATATTTTGTTTTGTGTTTAGAGCACAACTATCATTTAGGTAATTCAAATTGAACTCAATTATTGTACAAATGTACACTGCCGGAACAAAGTATTGGCACAGCAAATTTTTCAGAATACTTACATATATGCGAAAATGTTTATTCTTATATTTTTCCGCCGTTTTGTATAAAAATATGGTTCATTCTAAAACAAAAAAAAACATAAAAATTTGCAAATTTCAAATTTTTTAATCAAAGTTTTTAGAATTTTTTTAGCATGCAGTTTTGCAGCCTATTAAATTCTAGTAAAAAAATGTAAGTTCGGAGTTAAATAGTTAGAAATCGCATTGATTTTTGAGAACTTTTTTTTTGTTGAAGGTGTTTTGCATTTTTTCCATATAAAGTATTTGGAAAAAAAAATTTGTTGTATGGAAGAGACTGCGTGAAAAAATTGTCAAAAATCATCGGTAATTCCTAGCTACTTAAAACTTGTACTTTATTATAATAAAATTGATTGGGCTACAGGTCTGCATACTCAAAACTATTCTAAAAAATCTGATTAAAAAGTTAAAAATTTGCATGAAAATTTCCTGAATTTTCGCGAGATTCGCACAAAGTTTAGGAGCTATATTTTTATATTTTTTGTTGTAGAATGAACCATATTTTCATACAAAATTGGCGGAAAAATATTAGAAATTTGCTGTGGCAATACTTTCTTCCCGCAGTGTACATATGTATGTATGTATGTATGTTTGTATCGCCCACACATGCATTCATGTAAACATTAGTAAATCAACATACATAAACGTAACTATTCACTACTAGTATTACATATAAAATAAAATTGTACTAAATTTGTTCACCTACAACCAATGTTAATGTACTTGTCACATTTTCCAAATTGTGCAATGACTGCTGTTGTAAATATTCAACGGTTAGATGTAACGCATCATCCCCGGCGCCATAAATGAAATGTGGCAACGCTAGAATAAAACATGATAGACCGCAAAATACAATGCCCCAAGCAATCCAGCGTGGGCGATTTCGTTGACCTCCAATATAGCTGAGAATGAGAGATAACAGGATTTGTGATATTTCATTGCCGCTTAGAATAATGCCTAAAGATCGGGGTAGATATGTAGAGAGAAAATAAGTGATACAGATTAGAAAGTAAAAAAAAAAAGAAAACTAAAGTGATTTAATTGGCTTTCGTTTTCAGTTCTAAAAATATACCTAATGGTTAATTACTATTTTGTGTAGACATACGTATGTAGGGTACGTAGATATGTATGTATGTATGTAGGTACTTATGTCTGTATAAATGTATGTCTATTACAATATATGTATGTAATTCTATCTATAGCATTGTATAATTTTTAGAGTGAAGATAGTCATATTTGAGTGGTTAGAAGTGCGTACTACCACTCCGTACTAACTGCGATCTAACTAACTGCGTAACTAGGTGCGATCCCTGGTCCGGAAAACATCTAAATTAGAAAGAGTTTTTTGTTTGTAACAGCGGTCGCCCCTCCGCAGGGAATGACAAACCTCCGAGTGTATTTCTGTGATGAAGAAGCTTCTCATAAAATCCATTTACTCCCTCCATTTGTGTGTTATTTCGATCCGTTTCGCTATCGGGAAATTAATAAAAACTGCAATGTTTTCGATCTGTTCGATTATCGAGAGAGTAGCGAAAACTAAACTAATTTAGATCCTAGATTTTTTAATATTTTTGTAGCTACTCAATTTGAACTAAACAGGACAAGCTAAACAAAAGAAAGAATTTGAGCAACATCTTTTGGAAGAAACGAAATAAGCCTAAAATAATCATGCAGGCCAGTACGTAGAAGGCTTGGGAATTAAAAAAGGTTGCTCATACGCCGCGTTGCCTTTTTTTTTTTTTAAGTTGATACCTTATGTTATGAGGATGCCTTAGGGAAGACTTCCGGTAGACTTTGCGTAATTCCTATACGTATTTACGTCAATGTGTACATAATATGCACAAATATGTATACATATTTCATTGGTTTATTTACCTGTTGTTTGACTTGGAATTTTAAAACGTCTTTCAATGGTGGTTAACGTTACAACAAAGTACATATAGGACATAGCTTGAATGGTACCCAATAGACCATAAACAGCCATGAATGATTTAGTAGTTGCATAGCGTTGCATCCAGGCAGGATGCCAACACGTTAAACCACATAAGTGGTCACCTGGGCGTTGACGTAATTGCGCTTGCGGCATTTTTTGGCGCTTACCATAAGTATGCGACGCCAATGGACTGAAATTAGAAAACAAATTAGTTAATAGAGAATATGTAGTAAATTAAGTAAACCATTCCGCATATAAGCCCCAATAAGAGTTATTTTCTTAAAATTATTGTTTAAAAAAATACTGTTAAAACGCAAATTATTGTGGATGGGATGTCACGAATCAATCACTAAGTATGTACCACAAACTGTAGGGTACTAATTACTAAATTCTTGACGGTTAAAACGGGTTTTTTGTCTTTGAGCGAGGGTTTCGTTTCGGTTCAATGGTTTGGGGAATTTAGCAAAATAAGAAATTCTGAGAAAATTAGTCTATTTAAAATTGGTCGAAACGAACATTAGACCTTTATAAAAAGTGGTTTTGGAAAATATCGGTTTGGTTCAGTTAATTAGTAATTAATAGTAAT